TCCAGGCAACATTTCTTGCATTTCATCCACTGGAGGCAATTGCCGGCGGGGCCAGCACTGAGTAAGGGCTCAGATCAGCAACATAAGGCCTGCCATTTTTCCAGAATCACGCAACAGCTGAGTTACTTAAGGTTTTCATGAAGGATAAGGACAGAGAGTTGGCTCATAAAATATCCCAAGGAAGCTGCCTCACCATTTCCACATAACAGTGGCTCTCCTCTTGAGAAGCGGGAGATTCCCTCTTTCTCTTTTTCTCCAGCTGTAGGGGCTGAGCTCGAGGAGACACACATCACAGGCATTGTACATCCAAAGGTTAAGTCACTTGTTCCATGGCAGAGTTAACTTATACGCCCGGTACTGGCACAAGGATTTGTTTTATTGATGCCACTTGTTGAGTGTCTTCTGGACAACGTTTGAAAAGAGTTGGCAGAGTGAGGGAAGAAGAGAAGGTTAGACAGCACAAAAGAACAGAAAATGGGGGATAAAAAAGCTGTCTGAGGAAACCTTATCCACTCCTTGACATTGACTTTCCAGTTCATCTCAGGAACCGGGGTAATTGGAGCATCCGAGGGAAGTTCTGAAATTACTTTTTCCACAGTCACGGTCAAACCAGTATTGCGTAATCCCGGCTTGGTGAGATGACACTGTGAACCAGGTTGTGTTTAGGATGCATCATCATGCATCACATTGCCCAAAATGTGAGGAATCAAGGGGACCTTCCTGACAATGACAGGAAATCTGTGTACTTTTGGGGGATTCCATCACCATTGAACAAGGCACCCAAGTTGCTTCAGTCAAACTACCCCCGCAATAAGTGTAGTCAAAGTTGCTTTAGATCAGGGGTGTCAAACCCTGCTCCTAGATGGCCAATTTTTATTTATTTTTTTAGTTTAGTTTAGTTCCAAACGTGAGCAAACACACCTCAGTCAGCTAATCAAGGACTTCAGATTACTTGACAATTACAGTAAGGTGTGTTGGAACAGGCTGTAACTACACTTGTTGGCCCTCCATGAGAAGGGTTTGACAACCCTTGAAGAGGCTATTTGCTTTTTATAATATCTGGGGAAATTGTAGGTTTAAACTTGAAAGGGGCAATCCAGGAACTATCGATAGTATGTCCTAGTACAAATAACACACATTTTAGGTAGTTTTGCACAGACAATTGACACATTTCTGTCCAAGTCTGGTCCACTTGGCAGCAAATTTATGGCCAAGAATTGGCCAGTGCCAACAGTTCAAACCTTGGTGCCTAGTGTCTTCAGATAATGGTAGTACAGAGAACAACCAAACAAATTAATGTAAAAATTTACAAAAACAAATTGAGTGTTACGGTTGTGGATAACTGGTTTATTGCTACTAAGCATCTCAAACAAACTATTTAATACTATTATTCATATATTTGTTTCCCTAACCTGCAAACTTTGAAAAATCTGGTTCTTCCTCAAAAATCCTCATAGAATCTGATTGGACTTTTTATTTCCCTAGTAGTTTCCCATTTTGTGTTCAACATGCATCAGACGTCAGTGAAAAGGTTGTAGGCAGTACATGGTTATGCTGTCTGGGAATGCACTGAAATTTCGGCCACCGAAAATTATCGGCTGAAAATGGCAGGTTTCACTGTCCCTCTAGCCGTCGTCACTGCACGATGTGACATTTTGCTCAATATTCCGCTCTATGAATGTGCGTTCCACTCATGCTCAGCGGAAAAGCAAAATCCGCTCAAATAACGTGCTGACAGGAAATTTCTATGCAGTATAGTTATTCCTGTTTGCAACAGAGTGGTGGAACTATGACTTCACTTTGTAAGCAAAAACCCGGAAGCGAGTTAGCATTTTAGAACTTACGGTTCCATCATCCCGGAGTCAATGGGTTTTTTGAATGGGAGTTTGATTAAATCCCCTAAAATAAGGTCCGTGGTATTATCGCTTGTTTCCTACTGATGCGGAGACTCTGGGCTCGTACCATAAAGTAAACTCATATTACGATTATTCCATGTAAACACCACATTTACTGGCTTTACGTGGTCATGGTGAAAGTGAAACTTTAATTATTCATAGTGCTTAAAGCTACGCTACAATTAAATGTTTACGGCCACATGAAGCTGTTAGAAAGCAGAAAGATTGAGGATTTTCTAAAAGCAAGGATAAATTATCATTTTGTGTAAGCACCCTAACAAAAATGTCGTACTTTATTAACTAAAATAAATGTAATCTTACCATATCCAAAAACTTGCTCACTCTGCTGTTATTTAATAGATTAATGCACTATAATTTTATTGAATTTTATTGGCTTCAAAATTCATAAAAGTTATATTATTTGAAGATTATCTTGATGGACAAAACGTGTAAGTATCATGAACTATGGTTGAACACAGACCTTTTATTTTTTTTATTTTTACGATAATCCAAAAGTCTATGGAAAAATCCTATTGGCTTTTTGTCAAGGGAACCAGTGTGATGCTAACAGCCGACTGGCCTACAAAGTGACATAATAGTTCCACCACTCTATAGCGCTGCTGTGCTGTAACATGGTGACGCTGGTAAAATGACGCTACCATCTCATTCACTGATCTGCTCCCCGCTATGCTCTGCTCACATAATAATAATAGTTTTGTATGACTATACAATATTTGGATAATTAGTCTAGTCAAAAAAAAAAAGTTAAATCTGATTCTGTTGCTTAGAATCGAATAAAAATTATATATTGATATTTAATATTAATATATTTTCTATCCAATTTTATTGTGTGACTTTCAGTAACCCTTACAGAAACTTCACATGTGCAATCACATGTGAAACACACATGAAACGTGGTTTTGGAACATTTTCATGGTGTAAATGTGTGAAACCCATGTGATCACATGTTTCCACATGTGTCCACATTTGTTCACGTGTTCACATGTGATCACATGGGTTTCACACATTTACACCATGAACATGTTCCAAAACCACGTTTCATGTGTGTTTGATATGTGTTTCACATGTGTTTCACATATTTCACATGTGATTTTAACGTGATTGTTCATGTGGTTTTTCTGTAAGTGTGATTATTTTATTGGCTTGTGTTTTTTTAAATTCAGTATCATTAAAATTAAAGAGTTAAAGGGATAGTTCACCCAAAAATGAAAATTAGCTCATGATTTACTCACCCTCAGGGCATCCTAGGCGTATCTGACATTCCTCTTTCAGACGAGCACAATCGCAGTTATATTTAAAAATGTCCTGGCACTTCCAAGCTGTATGGCAGTGAATGGTGCCCCTGTTTTTGAAGCTGAAATAAGTGCATCCATCCATCATAAAACTACTCGACACGGCTCCGGGGTGTTAATAAAGGCCTTCTGAAGCGAAACGATGCGTTAGTGTAAGAAAAATATTGCTTTTTAAACATTTATACACTGTAATCTCCAGCTTCCGGTTGCTCAAGCAGGCGCGTTCACGACAAGGAGTTCGAGGCGCAACGTAAGCTCCGTGGAGAGAGTGACGAACGCGAAAGCACAGAGGAGAAAGCAAAAATGTCAAAGGATTTTGATATAAGGCAAGGGGAGAATGAGTTTTTTCCCCAGCCATATTTGTTTGAACCGATGTACACCGACCAGGAAGCAGGAGGCTGCAGCGGCGGCGGCACAAACTACAGATGTAGTTCACGTGGTTTCCCTGTGCTGTAAACAAAATTTGGTTCTCGCGAGACTACACTCTTCTCCCCGGAGCTTACGCTGTGCCTCCCGCTACGCCTACGTCATACACTCGAACGCCTTGTTGTGAATGCGCCTGCTTGAGCGACCGCAAGCTGGAGATTAAAGTTTATACATTTTTAAAAATTTATATTTTTCTTACACTAACGCATCGTTTCGCTTCAGAAGGCCTTTATTAACACCCCGGGGCCATGTGGAGTAGTTTTATGATGAATGGATGCACTTTTTTCGGCTTCAAAAACAGGGGCACCATTCACTGCCATTATACAGCTTGGAAGAGCCAGGACAATTTTTAATATAACTCCGATTGGATTTGTCTGAAAGAGGAATGTCAGATACGCCTAAGATGCCCTGGGGGTGAGTAAATCATGGGCTAATTTTCATTTTTGGGTGAACAATTCCTTTAAATTAAAAAGTCTTACAAAATTACTTTTGATAAAAGAATAAATACATTTCGGTTTCGGACCAGAATTTTCACTTCGGTTCATCCCTACTGTCTGGATCTGCGCGGACTATGGAATTTTTGCATTGGCTAAAAAGATTTGCTAAATTACAAATTCGTATTTAGAAAATAGCCTGGCAGGAGGTGGTGTAGTTATGTTGATAAAAGAATAAATACATTTCGGTTTCAGACCAGAATTTTCACTTCGGTTCATCCCTACTGTCTGGATCTGCGCGGACTACGGAATTTTTGCATTGGCTAAATTACAAATTCGTATTTAGAAAATAGCCTGGCAGGAGGTGGTGTAGTTATAGTGAGCCACTAGTAGCTTTTAAAAATCCAATTTCCTAACCTGCGGGGAGTCTGTGGTTATGCCGCCTGAGGTTAAGACTGCTTCAGAATAGGACTTTGGATTTATCCCATTGGATAAAAGCATCAGCTAAATGACAAATTAGTTAATAGCCATCTCCTTCAGCGTGACCAAGTATATTTATGGCAACTTGTCATTGAGTAAGCTTTTGGCAGATGCCTAGTAGCGGTAAGAGTTTAGCCAAATACGCAAACGTTATCTTAAGTACCTGAACACAGTGCAGAGGCTAATCTGACAAAGAATCACAGTATCTAAAAGAGCTTTTCATAGAAAATGAAAATAAGCATCCAAACAGATTACCTTCCCTGCGAATAAAATTTGTTCTAATCCAACTTGTAAAGCAAATTGCACACACTTGTACATGTAATTTCTGGTGCGTACAAAGTCATTTATTTATAGATTATTAATTTGTCGATAAATTGTAAATCAAACAATAAATCACAATGTTGTGCACTATTCTTTATTCATAAAACAGAACTTGTGCTGTGACCACCATGAAAATCATTGTGGAAATCAACGATATTAAAAATATACATAAATAGAACAATCTGTTGTGATGACAGACATTAACATTTGGATTAAATGACTTGTGTGTGTGTGTGTGTGTGTGTGTGTGTGTGTGGTAAGTGTTTTACAAAAGTAGAAAAATTAACTGCAGGATAGTCACTAAACAGAAAACACATTACTAAAAGAAACATTGGAAAGTTAAAATCAATTTTGTATAATGAAAATTCTTATTCAATAAGCTGTTTTTGCAAAAAAATTAAATAAAAATTGTCATGAGGGCTAAACACTAAAGTTGCAAATATAAGTATGGAACTACTCTTCTCTGTATTCATTAAAATAGTATAACTACTGCGAAACGTTCTCTCTTCAGTCAGTCCGTGTTTTAGGACACAAGAAATGATGTCCCACATTTCAAATAAAAACGAAGAGTAACAATCAAAGTGAAGGCACTGACAAATGAAAAACCATAAGAAATAAATACAGGCTTTCCATTAAAAAAAAGAGAGGAACCAACATGAAGCCCGGACGTATAGTTGCATTATCTGGTGTGATCAGATGATACGGATATGTGTCACTAACAAGTGTTTATGAATATGGCCTTGACAATGCAGTAATAAATCGGCCCATCGGTAACAACAGTAAACATAATCACAAATACATCGTTTTTCTACATTAGATCACAATCTGTCAATCCATCGTGATGGTTGCACACTCATCCATAAACACATAAAATCAAAAGTCCATTTACATCTTCACAAATTATCTCCCTGCAAAGTCCACCATGGCTGAAGAGGACCTCTTCTTGCATTCAAGAAAAAAAGGCAAGTGTCTGTTGAGCAAAATATGACCAGAATTACATATATATACCGATAGATTGTCTGGTGATGCTATATCACAAATGTTTTTATAATGTGAAAAAAAAGAAGAAGAATCATCACAGGTACCTTAGGTTTAGCAGTTTGCAACACTAATTGGAAGAGCTCTCTCGTCTAGCGTCAAGCGCCCTACAGCATAAAATAAACACAAACCAATAAAACTTCATTCATCACAATGAGAGGCTTTCCTGCTTGAGAAAAGCAGTCTGTTTAATGTGACGCTGAATCAAATAAGGACGTCAGCTATCACTGTCTTGACTGATGGCTTGAATTGAACTCTGAACTGAAACTTTTCTGCCAGGCTTGAGTCTAAGAACCAAAGAATGTTCTTGGTTTGCTTTTAGACTTGCTGTCTAATGCCTAAATAAAAGGCATACTAAGTAAATGGAACCTTATAAGGGCAAATTCTTAATGTTCCACGAGTGAAAACTTAACATGATAACATGTTGCTAGGCTAACAACATGATACTAGCTTAGAAATACACTGAGTAAATTAGTGATTTTATTATTATTATTTAAATTTTATTTAACAATTTTTATTGATCTTTTCTGGTACTGACTGATTCATACAACACACTGTAATAAAATTTAGTTTCACTTATTTTTTTTATGGCTCTTCTGTAATTCCATGGTGCTATGTACTATTTATTTTCAAGTAGCATCAATGTTGGTAGATATTTAGGTCAGGTAAATTTTAGGACTTCTATCATTAATTATGAAACATCGGATTAGTACAGGTAAGTTTGCATGTTCTTTCTTTTTTTTAAAAGATGTGTTGCTTTTGCAAGGATGGAAATATTCTAGAAGTTTCTGTAACATGCTGTAATATTTTGTGATATTCTAGTGCTTACTAGAACATTCCAGAACATTGTGGGACTAGTCATAAAAGACAAAAAATCATCCAGCGTACACTTCTTAAGTTTTGGACAACTCATTTTTGTTAACTGTTTTTGTTAAAGTGTTGTTAGCTTAGAAGTATGCATGCATGTACCATTTAATGTTTTATGCATGAGTAACAGCAGATTAGCTTGTATAAGTTGTATATATATATATATATATATATATATATATAGTTTTCACGAGCATTGTTAATGATGCACAAAAAGTAATGGTTGTTTTCGTATTCAGCATGTCAAACTTAAGAAAGAAACTAAAAAAAAGGTGAAACAAAGCTTAAAAAACAAATAGTCTCTTTTTTGTATTTGTATCTTGGATGGAATTCTATGGCAGCTTGCTGCTACCATAGAATTTTGGCAATAGAAACAAATTTGGCAATAGGAACAAATAACAGCAAATTTAGGTTGCCTACCAATTGGACCAGCCCTCGCAGCAGGAGGTCACCTACAAAGGCTTAAAATGCCTCCTACGTAGGCAGCTCACTAGGTTTTGGAACACATCCTGAGTGTGTGTGGCCTGGCTCCAGACTCCAGTGAGTGATCTGCCCTGTGCTTGCAGCTGGTATGACAGTTAACCATTACTCAGCCCCAGCATTCGTTTTTCAGTCTGGTACTCTCTACCCGTCTGGAACTCTATACAGCACCTGGCACAAGTAAAACACCCACGAACGGGCCTTCAGTCTGAATTTGTCTTGCCATGCTATTGTAGCTCAGAACATTGAGCTCTTTTGAAGACGTATTAACTACCATTGCACAAAGAGTTCAATTCATATCCATAAATGGACTGTCTCGAAAATACATTCTTCATGATACAAAATAAACAAATCTCTGCTTTTCAAAGGCATGAAAATAAATTTTCAGTTTAGTATTAAATATTGCTTTTGGATGTGAGCAGTGGCACCAGTTTTGAGTGTTTAAAACTGCCTTAATACATTTTAACATCATATGATCTGGTCAGTGATCATTTTTGTCACTTCACAGCACTTTGTGTCACATATTTTTCCAGAGTAGCAATACAAAATCAGAGTTGAATGGATGGATGGATGGATGGATAGATAGTTGGATAAAACAATGGATGAACTGACAGTTGAAGATGATGGACGGACTGACTGACTGACTGACTGACTGACTGACTGACTGACTGACTGACAGATAGATAGATAGATAAAATAAATGCACATAATATTAATCTCTCTTGCTATTTTTGCTTGCGTGCCAGTGGTTTCCCCTCCAGCGCTGGCATGTGTGCCTAAGGTTACTGACCCCTGTTCTATAGAAAGAATTGATTTACATGTATATGTGCAGCTGAGGTCATACTTCACTGAAGGACAACTTTCCAGTAAGTGGTGCATTTAGTGGTTTTGCAGTCTGTTATTTGTCTCTGGCCTCTTACTGGCTGCCACAGTGCATGCTAAACAAAAGCGCTGTGTTCAAAACAAGTTAAGCTCTTCGACAATATGCACACAGATGCTGTCTACTGACTTACACTTGGTGTTGTCGGACAAAATCTGCAAACTGGCGGTCCTTGGCATACAGCTCGATAATTCGAATACGGTCCTGGATTTCCTGTCATGAGAGAGGGAAGGTGGAAGAGGGAGAAGAAGACAGTTACATAACAAATGAGCTGACCTCTCTGCCCCAGTCCTCCTTTTACTTCTAGACATATAGACCAACTCTGGCACTTTAAACCAAGAGCTAAGGTGAAACACAGAAATTTATGAAGGATTTCTTTAATTACAGGCACTTTTATTTGAAAGGAGTTGATTTATATTCAAAGTAAAAGTCAGACAGACAGACAGACAGACAGACAGAGACAGACAGACAGACAGACAGACAGACAGAGACAGACAGACAGACAGACAGACAGACAGACAGACAGACAGACAGACAGACAGACAGACAGACAGACGACTGACTGACTGACTGACTGACTGACTGACTGACTGACTGACTGACTGACTGACTGACTGACTGACTGACTGACTGACAGATAGATAGATAGATAAAATAAATGCATATAATATGAATCTCTCTTGCTATTTTTGCTTGCGTGCCAGTGGTTTCCCCTCCAGCGCTGGCATGTGTGCCTAAGGTTACTGACCCCTGTTCTATAGAATTTATTGATTTACATGTATATGTGCAGCTGAGGTCATACTTCACTGAAGGACAACTTTCCAGTAAGTGGTGCATTTAGTGGTTTTGCAGTCTGTTATTTGTCTCTGGCCTCTTACTGGCTGCCACAGTGCATGCTAAACAAAAGCGCTGTGTTCAAAACAAGTTAAGCTCTATCTGCAGCATCTGTGATATGCAGTCAATTACCATGTAAAACAGTTGTGACTTGTCCGTCAGTTTTGTAAAACAAACAAAAATGGTGTTTATAGTACCACACTTGCAATGAGTCTATGGGGCAAGACATTCCAGGGGGACGTGCAGCTCCTATAGTTGTTAAAATGGAATTCATCCATACAGAAATGTGTTATTGAAAATGTAAATTGTTTATCATACACACGTCTTGCCCTATAGACTTTCACTGTACGTCCATAACTGGAATAAAATTATATATACAGTGGGTACGGAAAGTATTCAGACCCCCTTAAATTTTTCACTCTTTGTTATATTGCAGCCATTTGCTAAAATCATTTAAGTTAATTTTTTTTCCTCATTAATGTACACACAGCACCCCATATTGACAGAAAAAAAAAGAATTGTTGACATCTTTGCAGATTTATTAAAAAAGAAAAACTGAAAAATGCTCAGTATTTAGTAGAAGCACCCATTTGATCTAATACAGCCATGAGTCTTTTTGGGAAAGATCCAACAAGTTTTTCACACCTGGATTTGGCGATCCTCTGCCATTCCTCCTTGCAGATCCTCTCCAGTTCTATCAGGTTGGATGGTAAACGTTGGTGGACAGCCATTTTTAGGTCTCTCCAGAGATGCTCAATTGGGTTTAAGTCAGGGATCTGGCTGGGCCATTCAAGAACAGTCACAGAGTCGTTGTGAAGCCACTCCTTCGTTATTTTAGCTGTGTGCTTAGGGTCATTGTCTTGTTGGAAGGTAAACCTTAGTTCCAGTCTGAGGTCCTGTGATTCCAACTATATTGTTTCTCTGTGCCTTTATCGTTATAGTTGTGGTGCGGACTCTGCTATTCTTTAATATTGAGAACGATTTTTAGAACTATATCTTTACCGTTATCTTTATAGTTATCGTTCTTGGTGTGAACAGGCATTAACTTTTGGAGTGGACCCTCGTGCTTACTATTTTTATAAAAGTCATACGTTTTCATAGAAATAATATTGTACTTATTCATATGAAATCGTCACCTTGTAAAAATAGTTGCGCCCCATTTGACGGTTAGGCTTGGGGTAGTGCTTACTTTTTTCAATTCAATTAAATTAATTGCATTTTTATTAGCTTTCTTTTTGCCATAAAACGTGCTGCATTGCTGCCACTTGCATGACTTTCGAAAGTTGTCTTTTTAGGTCCGAAAGATGTATTTTTAATAATTTGTCAACTGAGCGATCAACAACCAGGTACAATATACCACACCAAGTGAGCTTACTTCTGCCCCACAAAACCTTGATTCTTGTCAAAATTAATTTAGTGTCTTCTAAGGTCTATTAACATGCACACAAACACACCTCTTTCGTAAGTTCACTGTTCTCATATACGTGTCGTATTTCCTCGCTGCTGAAGTCCGTGGAGGTCTCAGCGCTGCCGGTGCTATACGCAGGGGTATCTGGGTAACGGCGGTAGTACTTTTTATACCCTGTAGTTGCTTCACTTTCAAACATGGGATTGTACTTAGTGGCTCTTTCTAGAGATGGCATGTTCTCTGAATATCTGTGGAAAAATGTCAGGAAATAAAAGTCAGATTTTGGACAGCAACATCAATACATCAGATTAAAAAAAATTATTTTGGGAAGACAGGTTTGAATCTCATCCAAAATATGTTTCTCTCCCTGAATAATGGCATCTCTCTATTGTCTCAAATTAAATGAGTAATTAAATAAACCTTTGGTTGTATCTGGAATCAAACATGCCCTTGCTGTGGGTTTGTAAAAGTAGCAGATCGTCCCACCTATTTATATCTGCCCAAGGGTCAGATAGTGGAGCCACGGAAAAAGTGAGTGGATTATCTCAGGCCGAGTGAGAGCGGCTCAATGTTCTGCCATCCTGGCATTCATTCCTCTGTAACCTGTTGATCAGGATCACTGATAGATCCCCTGCAGAGACGTTACATCATCGTGTGTCTGCCAGGATTTCCCTGTTTGCTCTGGTGCTGGTGAAGCAAACAGGTTTAAGTCTGCCGTGTTTATGTTTACAGACAAAGTGAAGATGCAAACTAAATTAAAGTATTTTATAATATTGAGTCTTTATTTTTTATTTAAATGTAACTTAAAGAAACATTTCAAGTATTAGAGCTAACTTGACTGAATGTATGAAGTCAGATATAATATTTACACGTTTGACAATCAGAAAGTGTCACAATATGTTTTGTCTTTTAAATAAATTGACATTTGTTTGGATATTGTACTAATTCTGTCACAGTTGTCTAATACATTGCGGATTAAGTGTCTAAGTACTTCTTGTATGTATGTTATCTAGAGCTGATGGATGTAAAATATGTGTATTGGATATAAAATGTGTGTTCAAAATGAAACTTAGGACAGGAAGAACTTGTTCAAAAATGATAATTGATTCAACCTGCACATGCCTAACAGCATTTGTTTCATAACTACCAAAGAGAACATATTGTGTGTTCCGGCTTATTTGTGCAACAAGGTCATAAAAACAAAATACGCACGTTTGGGCTGTAAAATATTGCAGTGCGCTCCATATGTATGTTCCAGAACGCAGTGCTTTCAAACACAATCACAGCTGAGATTGTTTGGTTCCTTTTCAACCAGGTGAGGAAACCAAATGTCATTTAACAAGTTGGGAAATGCAACATTATTTGTCTTTTGGGGCCTCAGAGGAAACGTAAATCACATTTCAGAGTGCTTGTATTTACAGCATTCATTCAAAACGCTGACAGAATGCTTTAAAAATGCCATTTAGGCATCACATGTGCACCATTCAATTCGTTCAAATTAACTGAACCGTTATTAATAATCCATTTAGCAGATTTGTAGTCCACTAAGGAGTTCTGCTTGTTCTAAAATTTAAAGAAAGACATAAGCTTCTTAATTTCTTCCAAATAAAATATGATCATTAAGAGTGTGTTTGTGAAGCACAGTTTGTACCGTAAAGGGTCTTCTGAATCATCCGTGTCACACTGGTCTCGCAGAGTTCTGGCGAGGAAAAAGATCACGCCCGACGCCACGAGGAGGAACCCCGCGACTGAGGCGATGGCTATGCCAACCACCAGCGGTTCTGACACATACTCCTCACAGTGTCCTCCTCGATACCACCAGTTTTCACCGACTCGACACCTAAAAACAAAGGTAAGTGAATTGCATTTTTGGCCGTATTGTTGCTTTAGGAGATTTTTTACAGTACACACCTGCATATTGCGCCCTTGCCAGGTATGATGTCACATTTCCCATCATTCTGGCAGAAGTCTTCCTGTATGTCGCAGATACTCTGACATGGCAGCCCGTCCACGCTAAAATAGCCAGCGTTACAAACACACTCTGCCTCGCCTGACCAGCGGTTGACTAAACACTGGGAGAACTCATTGCACGCTTGGAACTTACATGGATCAGCCTGGTCACCTACCAGAAAGAAAAAGACAAATTATACATACTCACAGCAAAGAGAAAAGATAAAAATAAAAGCTAACGATATTAATAATAGCCTAAGCATAATAGCACATAAATGTGTTTAACAAAGGAAAAATGAACCTTTTCAAATCTAGTTTAAAACACGTGTCCGTTCTTAGAAATGCACCCTACTGTTTTTTTGTAGAAAACATATATTTTTCATTTTTTTAAATCATGAATTATTAATGGTATCATAATGAAGCGGGGAAAATTCATCATTAAAAAATGAAAATTTGGAGACATATATATATATATATATATATATATATATATATATATATATATCAGTCTGGCGAGTAAACAAAAAAATGTACTAGCCAATGGCGATTCAAT